GGGATAAAAGTACACCTGGGGGAGGTGTGGAGACATGTTCTTTCTTCTCTGTCCTGAGTTTTCACTCCTTTTTCTGTTTTTACTCTCCAAAAGTGACGATTCAGTTGATGAGATGGACGTTGGTGAGCTCATGTGAGTGGGTAGTGGGGGGGGGGAGGCAAGACGTGGATAGGAATGGAGACTAGCAAAACAGATACAATAGTAAAGGTTTTTGTATTTCCCAATGAATGAAAAACAAAACGATATTGTTTTTACTGACGTTTCACTATTTAATGCTAATAGCTTTATAAAACAGATACAAATTTGAAAAACATATTTCCTTATTCTGTCAGCTAGTTCACTGATTTCCTAAGTATTTAATATCAGATTATGTCTCCTTTCTGTATTATCTGTACAGTATGTCTGTGTGTGTGTGTGTGTGTGTGCGTGTATGTGTACGTCTGTGTGAGTATGCAACTCATTCCTGGAATTCCTGTCAGAATTTCTCCTCCTTTATTATTTATCATATTTTATCTCACAGTTTATATTAATGATGATTATGGCTTTACAGCTGTTTTCATTTGTAAAAAAATATTTCAATATCATTTTCTCTTATTCTATATATATATATAAATTAGAGACAGTACTCCATTCAGTCTTCATCTGTTGAATATAACTCAAAAATCAGAAGACTAAAAAAGCAAACAATCTGAGTCCCACTTAAGTACCCTGTAAACTTCAATTTCACACTGTATATCAGAATGTATGAATCTCAGATTAAATGGTAACCGACAAGACCCAAATCTTGTGTAAACCATTTTTAAAGTGTTTGTTGTTTTTCAGCCGGCTTGATTTATTTTAAGCTACTGTATACGAAATTAGAACATCAGTTTGAGTACCACTGAAAATCAGCTGGAAACGGTTTCGCCAAGTAACCCGAGAGTCCTGAGCTCTCCGGTAGCCGGTGGCTTCGTGAGCGTTTACTACTGAGGAATTCAGTAATTGAATGAGATGGCTAGTTAGTACTTCTTGGTGTAGCTTTTCAGTGGTTCTCGAATTATGATCAAAAACTTGAAAAAGAAGTGATCAAGTCTCGGGTTGTCAGCTAATAATGAGTCAGTCATCAGTATTCATCATCTTAGTGATATCTTAACTCAATTTAGTTCACAACATTTTATGTTAGTCATTTAGAGAGAGTAACATTAAAATGGTCGGTTTTTATGTTTACCAAGGAAGTATGTCATAGCACTTTTCATAAAACGACATTACCACTGATAATTATTCGAATTATGATCACGGTTTGATAACAGCCAGGGAAATATTGAAACTAGAGAGTGCTCGACAGCTATGTTGTCCCTGTTTGGGACTCTTCAACAGTACACAACCCAGGACCTTCAGATTACAAGGCACTGGGATGGAGTCCAATGAGTGGTTCATCAATTCTAAATCCTGTCATTTCGTGATGTGTAGCGTCAACACCACTTTACCATATTCTCTGCAGTCTACTCTAGCTAGGTCTACCATTAGCCATAAGCTGTCGTTCCCTACTCACAAGATCTCTTCCATATCACATTCAGACGCCCAAGTTGTCGGTGACCATCTGAGTTCTGCTCAACAGCATGTAGTGTAATGTAACTCGATGGTCCCCTTTACGTATAGCCAATATGCATTTATTGGACCGTGGACTGTTGACTGGTTGTCAGATTTCCTTGTTGCTTATCCCTTCTAGACGACTATCTGGAAGGCGACTGCTGATAAAAGTCTACAGTCCGCTGAAAATGCTTCTCACGACGCGAGTACCTGATCTCTCAGTCAGTACAGAAGCAATGGCTGACTTCATATTAGTGCTGGAAATTTTGACCTTGCTGTTGACAATCTTCTTAGACATTTAATTGATGGAATTATTTATGGATTTTATTCGTGAAGTCTCTAAAACTAGGGGAATTAAAAGGAGATATACAGATGTTTCTGAATCTCATCTGCCGAAAGACTCTGACCGGGTATGTTTTCAAGTATGTTTTCCAGTATTGCCTTAAATAAGACTAAAATAGAAGTTTTGTCACCTGCCCCAAAATTTTGTGATCATTAAGAGACAGAGGTGACAGTTTGAAAACCTTTTTTCTAATTATAAACACAAGATTTGATACTGATTTCTAAATGTTTGAGTTAAAGAGATTTAAGAGTACCATTGTTGCTTGTTGCTAAATTTGATATGAAAAGTACAATGATGAAAGAATATAGTACATCGGTGGCACAACGATTAGGACGATTGTCAACCATGCACATGGTTCGGGGTTCGATCTCCTGCCGACGGACACCCGATATCACTGATCGGCCTGCTAAATTTGGGCTGCCGATATCACATGGTGAAAAATCCATTGATGTACCAAAATACTGTGTTGAATCAAGCTATAATACAAAGAAAGAATCCAAAAACTAATGTCAGCTGATAGCGCCTTATAATCACTAAAATGAAAGGTTAGCTTTTTAATCTCATTTCAAGTTTCAAAAGCTTGGCAGTTTGCAGAGTTTGAATAAACCTTCGGAAAGTCAGTTTGTTAAGACTTTGAAGTTCATGTAAAAAAAGAAACTTTATTTGTGAGATGTCTATTTTCGTCTCTAGAACTCATATATTCAAGGCTTTGTATTATAACTTACCGAGCGTCTATAAGCAGGGAGTTTCTTTATGTCTCCTCCACCCCACCCCGGTGAAACTTATATTTTTTTTATTATTGTTGATTATAAATACATTAGTATGTCACTTTAGAGTTAATTCACATTTTATCTCCTGTGTTCTCAATGACTGTATATATTTTATGTGTGTAACTGACATTCTTAATAAACAGACTATTATTCTGTCTTAAATTTGAACTCCAATACAGTTTTTGATATATATATATATATACGCTTTGTGGTGAATGAAATTGGAAAATATTAACGATGAACATGTTTAAACCAGAAAAATCTCGTTGTCTGTTAAAATCACTTTCTCATTTTCCCATTTATTATTTTACCGAATTTCCCCTTCAGCATATTTCATGTGAGTATGCTCAGTCAGCCAGCCACCCACCCATTCAGCATTTTCTTCGTATTTAAACCTTATCATTTTACATGATCTCTGTCTCTCTCTCTCTCGCGCGCTCGCTCGCTCGCTCTGCTTTTTATGTCCCTCCAGAAAAGAGATACAATGAATAGCTGGTAAGGAAAACAACAGTAACAACAACAACAACAACAAGAGAATAATTTCTTTCAGTAAGTATACTTCCTATACAAAGGACAAAAGAATTGACAAACAATCACTATAACAATCTTACAAGCAATATGGTCGTTTCTTTCTCTTTTAGATAGTGAGGTGTTTCGTGATATTTCTTCTTCATATCAGACAAAAAAATATATATTTAAAGTTAAATGAGCGCGTAGAAGTGGTCAGAAATAAAGAAAGGAGACATTAGAAAGAAAGAAATAGCTCAGACAGAAAGACAGAGGGGGGGGGGGAAGAAGAAAGACAGGATAACTGAGTACATCTCACTAATGACATCTGTTCATTGATTTATTCCTCACCATTTATGAATGATATGAGAATAGATAAAATAAAAATAAAATAAATGACTTTAGCAATAGTCACAAGAAAAAACGTCATATAATTATGATAATAGGCAGAATCCACTATTTCAGTTAAATTGAATCAGGAGGTATGTGCATGTGTGTGTGGGTGCGCGCATGTGCACGTTCATTTGAGCACGCTTTCGACAGGAGGAGACCCTCGTTGAGCCACGGGTTAACTTCACCTAAACCACATATGTCATGCTAATTAAATCAGTATATATATATATATATATATATATATATGAATAAGCATAAAAGAAGTTTAAAAAAGTGTAACAAAGTTTTATCAGAATGGGTTATGAATGTGACTTTGTAGATAGCATAAAGTGCTATCATTATTAATTACTTGATCTAATTTGAAACTGTACATTACCTGGACATAAATAATAACAATAATAAAAAGAGTGAAGATGACATCAATAATAAATTAACTACTGAAAAATTTAAATAGTTTACTGTCGTTTACATTGACTGGTAGGAAACTACACTAGGCAGGTAAAATGACATGAATGAAATACAAATTTCACAAAATAAAATTTCTGTTATTTCTCTAAGCTTTTATAGAGATTTGAGTCAGTTTAATTTCGACTGTTAGACGTCGTCACGAACCAACACCAGTTAGAGGGGTCATTGAAAACCTGGGCATAGTGCACATCCACGACCCTACCAGGGGTCGAACCCAGGTGGTGTTGCATCAAGAAGTCAAAAAATTAGATTTCATGGGTCACTGAAGTCCGGTCCAAGTGGTTGAGTGGTTAAAAAGCTCAGTCTCGTGACCTGAAATTACCCGGTTCGATCCCTGGCGGGCGTTTGGTGTGCAATACTGGAGAGTCCCAAACTATGACGAAATGCCTATCCACTGATCTGTCTAAATGATGTTGGTTAGTGACGAAATCTAACAATTGAAATTAAATTCATTTATTTCAAAAACACATCATACATTGGACAAAATATAAAATACAGAACACTCACCAACCATGCCACATGTGGTTCGGGTTCGACTCCTGGTCGATGCACTCCATCTAACCTAGCCTAGTTTACCATCTGATAGTGAGGCTGGGAAAAAGGGAACATTGGGGATGAGGTTAGCAGTCATACCCCATCAAGAAACAATACAAGCGCTACTGAAACTTTAAAGCTGAAACCTCAAGTCCCGTGTTCCACGAGGGATGTATATAAGTGGCAAAAACTTGAAGTTACTTGTGTGTTCACAGTTGAGTACAGGATGAAGTTCTCATCCTGGATTTGCTTGCTCCCCAACACTGAGTGAGGGTGTTCCCATTGAGATTCGAATCCAGCACGCAGAGTTTCAAACACTGAAGCTTTATTAACTAGGTCAATACCAGCTTATTTCTTGATTCTTCAGGAATTTATTTGTAATATATATATATATATTTCTCTTCTTCAAATTTCAGTTAAACAGTCTGACACACGGAATAAACTGAAAAATCCAACAAATAGAAAAACTTCAAAGAATTCTAAAACCGATGAAAATATTCAGTCATCAATAACTGATAGTGAGTCAAATCAATACAAAACTTTGACTACTTCTGAGTCGATAACGCCGACTAATACCCCAGTGACACAACCTAAAAAACGTGGCCCAAAAAAGAAACCCCTTACAAAAGAACGTGAAGCTCGTTTGAAAAATCGTCGCGTCCGTGCAAATGCCCGTGAACGTAGTCGTATGCATGGACTGAATCACGCCTTAGAACTATTACGCCGTCATGTACCAACATTTTCAACAAGTCAACGTTTAAGCAAAATTGAAACACTGCGTTTAGCTAAAAATTACATCCGAACATTATCACAGTTGCTCATAGCTAATCAGCCACCGACACCACTAGAAATGGCACTGAATTTAACTGAAGGTCTTTCACAGAATACATCAAATCTGATAGCAAATACATTACAAGTCAATCCAAGAGTTTTAATTCAAGTACAACGCGAGAATTCTTATCCTCAGATGAACAGTGAATCGAATACACTGGATAGTACAGATTATTCCCATGAGAATGCAAGAACACTGAATACACCAGATCAACCAAATTGTGAATCAATTAATTCGAACCAACAAAATGAACTATTGAATACTGCTCATTCTGATTATGATAATCAATCGATAATGAATAATGAAAAGTATTATGACAAGCTGTCAACTTTTCCTTTCATCAATAATCAAGCAGTTAGTCATAATTCAGCTGTCTCAAATTCATGGGATCATTTTACTCCAGGAGTAGTAAATAGTGATGATTCATCAATAAATAATCCCAATATATTCTTCCCTAGTCCCATCACTGATTGGAGTCAGTCTCAGTTATTGATTCCTTCCCCAGTAATGCCACCATATTCTCCTATGGATACAAATCATATCAACGGAAGCAGTCAATCTATATATAATGCTGTTAACGAAAATATTATCACTAATAGTAATAATAGTCACGGAAATCTATTTTTACAAATAATGAATAATAATTAACAATTTTGAAATCGATACGTATATCCAAATAAAATTCCAGCACAATTATTTTCTTGACATTTTTAACTACTATTTATGAATTAAGTAGCTGACGCAATTTAACAAAAGACAGAAGATATCAGAATAGTTCATCAATCCTATTTCTATTTTTTTTTCACTCTGTTATATATTTGATATTATTTTCAAAGTTTATTTTAATATGACACTCAATTTCCAAGCATACCGAAAGAAAAAAGACCTGGAATTGCACTTTTTTTTTACTTAGAAATAACTTTATAAAAACTATTTGATTTTGTACACATTTATGTATTATGTTTGAACACAGATAAGATTTTCATATATCAGAAAACAGAAAACATAGAAACAGACTATTTTTCAATTTGTATATTATCTTTGATTAAAGTGTAGACGTATCGGCAGCACATATGATTGCGATTATTTTTCTGAAATAATGGTATAAGATATGTCAAGATGTATTGTTTGTTTTCAATGTGAGTGAGGGGTATCTCGGGGTTTGATGTTTTGTTGATTATAGCTTGATTCCACACCGTATTTTTGGTACAAGTATGGAATTTTCAACATGTGATATCGGTAGCCCAAATTTTGCAGGCCGACCATTGATATCGGGTGTCCGTCGGCAGGGAATCGAACCCCGAATCATCTGCATGGTCGGCGAAAGTCCTAACCGCTGCGCCACCAAGGCATGATGAAGCAAAGAGAAATGACTGCTAAAAGAAATTAATTTCATAAATATGTCTTTAGCTTTTAAATTTGATCAGGGAGCTGTTGTAAGCTGGAGAACCATTTTAGGAATCAGGGAGTACAGCATAGTTGCTTTGTCCTACTTTGTCAATCTTCAGAGATATGCACTTATAACTCTACCAATTTTAGGGCGGAGAAACTTCAGGCCGCAAAACAAGCTCGTTGACCATTCACACAATCGTCCACGTATCCTAACTCCTACCAGTTTGCGTCACAGAGTGCAACCCTCACCCAAATGATTTACGAGTATCTGTTCTAATACCCGACTTGGTGGACCCACTAGTCACGGCTTCTCACTAGGACTTCTGGCAAATTCATCCTTCAATCAGTCACTAGTTAGCGCTAGAACAATTTTAAAGTGTTTGTTTGTACAGATGTAACTGGTGATCAAAAGCTGATATTGGTTAGTGAACTACTGCAAACTAGTTTGGGACTAATCTAGGACGACACCGCTATCGTAAATTGAAAACAGTCAAATCCTTGTCAACCGACATTTGAATACATAACAATTTAGTAACTGAACCCTTCGCTGACACATTTGTATTTACTCAGTATGTATTGGTAATCAGTTCATAACAGTAAATAATTTTGTGGTCTGTCGGCAGACAAGTTATAAAGTCTTTAAATCGTTCATGAACAGATCTATCTATTGTCACTTAGGATAATAATAAGAAAGACTTCAATGCGCGATTCGTCATTAACTGATAGCATTTAGGACAGTGGATTGCTCTTTCCTCTATGTTTGGCTGTTGTCAGGATTTAACACTAGTTGACTACCGGGGATCGAACATAAGACCTTAAGGTCACAAAAGGAAGACACTTAATCATTTAACCACCGGACTGGCATCCTTTTGCTCACCACGACACGGTGTTGTCAATAATAGACACCAATGGTCGAGGCATTTTATGAAAGTCTTACGAAAGCCATCCAGAAGATAACCAACAATTCAGAATATAAATATCAATGAACTGCAAACTAAACATATCACTGATGCTATATACTACTGACTCGTTAATATGACTCGTTATATGAGTAGTTGGACAATATTCACATCGACCAGTAGTGCTTACTAGCCAGCCAGCCCTTTCTCTGCTTTCATACAAACCACATCAGTGGTGTAACCGGTCTGAATTGACTCACAGAACTGTATCAGTTCAATTTCAATTTCCAATTTCTAGCTGCCTACTTGGGTGAACTGATAGTAGCATAAATCAAATTCGCAGTTTGTAATTTATACAGTTCCTTTGCAAACCAAAATTATCCAGACCACTACAACATATAATCTGTTTGGTAGCATAAATGATAGCCAAGATAGTAGACAATACACTCATGAGACTATATGCGCTACTGATTGTTGATATATATAATATATATATATATATATATATATATATATATACATGGTTGAGGATCACACACTTCCCCATCCAGTAAATAATATTGTTTCACTACTTACTGTGTGATGCATCATATTTCATTTCAGTACCATTGGCAGATACAAATAACACCACACAGTAATCAATTCTGTGAATAAATCATATATCTTATAAATCTGAATGTCATGATCATTATAAGAAACTACTCTAATCCCTTGACTGGAAATAAAGTTTCATTGTTAACTTAAGAGGAATAATAAGAAGGGGGAAGGGTAAAGCCTACAATTTCAGTTATTCCCTTTTATTTTATTTCATTACTCAACCCCATTCTACCAGTCAAATTAGAAGTAATAAAATCGACTGTTTTTCTTTCTTCTCTCCCGATTCCCTTTTCCTCTATTTTTTTGCACTCAGAAGCACTAATTTCATTTTGAAATTTATGTAAAGAGAGATAAAATTGACAGGAGCTTAACTGAGTATCGTGTTCCCTTTCTTAACATAATACTAATAATGGCAACTTTATTTACACATGCATATGTATATATATCCCTGAGGCTATTCATTCATCCGTCCATTCACTGGTACAAACTGATTTAAACTTAGTTGTGAAAATAAAAATCTGTTATTTTATTGTCATAAGACTGTAAAGAAGAGATGAAATCTTTCTTCCTGTATTGATCATGACTATTATAGCAGCAGCAGCAGCAAAAACAACTAATACCTTGAGAACATGATCCTACAATCTTCAGTATAGGCAGTAATTCATCCTCTCTTGTGAATAGTATAATGAAAGGAATTAAACCAAAAACTACTTCCAGTTTAATTTATTCATTTACCTGTATCTACAGTGATATGTACATGCGAAGAACTAAGAAGGTCCTTGAGAAAAGAATTTCTGAATATGTAAGAAAGAGATCATCATCAGGTGTGACACTACTTAGCAATGCTATTGACAGAAATACAGTTGATACATAATCACATCGATTTTAACGTAAGTTTCAAGGTGGTAAGTACGTAGAGTAATAGTAGATGATTACGATATGCAGAAGCAGCAGCAATCCGATGGTTGAAGCCCAGTCCGGGAATACAGAAGGATTTTATGCTCTATCTTGTATTGCCTTGATAATCTGTTGTTTATTTACTTGTCATTTTATATTTTTTTCTGTCTTCTTACCCTGCTTAAGTAAGTGTTGTTCGCTTTTCACTAACCATCATATTTATTATATGACAGTCTTGTTCCTTAGTCTCTCCTCCACTGTTTTACCAGAATTTCAACCCCTATCATACCATAAATGTGATATCTTAACTGGCCTCTCCACCAAGTGGAATCTTATTAATCACACTTTGTTAATATTCTTTTGAGTTATTTCTTTTATCAATTATCAAGTGTTGGTTTGCAGGGATGTGATTAGTTACAGGTTTCATCATGAGTTGACATCATTTACGGAACCATTAGAAAACCTGAAAGTACTGGATAACTGTTTCGTCGTAGTCTGTTTGGATTTGTCGACAGTACGCAGACGCCGGGGTCTAAACCCAAGACTTTCCAGTTACAAGGCAAGTTCATAGACCATTAAACCACTGGGATCCAATCTAGTGGCTCATGGATTCCCACTTCTGTCAAGTTTGGTAACAGAACAGTTACTTGTTTATGATATTGGCTGACGGTTGAGCTATATATATCCCCAACTGATAGAAGTTGGAGTTATTTTTTGTCCATGTGTAGAACTTGGGTACTGTAGTAGAATGTAAGTGCACGTTGGATAAGTTGATTTGGTATAAAACACAGTGTGATAAAATATTAATAACTGGATGATGTTTCAAGCACAGTTTATTACTCAGAATCATGTCATATTTATATGAGTGATGAATCGTTATGAATACTGTATCACTCACCGTGTATGTTATATCAGATAAACATAACTAATATCGAATTATTTTGTTTGTCTACATCGAATTTGCAGTACCAGCTGGGCGCTGGTAAGAGGATGAGACAGAAGCTATTGCAGCCATCTAAAAATGACTCTAGAAAATAGGATGAAATACAGATGGGCTGCTAAGGCCTTGTGTTCCACTGGTAACCCAAACAAATAGTAGCAATAGTAAGAACAAATGAAGAATCACATTTTATACATTTAGCTACTGTTACACAGGTTCAAATATCAAATTGTCTAGAAAACCAGATCAGGTTTCTATGGTGGAAAATTCTTCTGACGCTCAGAAATTTGAGTGTAAATATGCAGTCTAAAGTTTGTAGATGATTTGTATTTAACTCCCCTAGTACACAAAATACTGAGGGATTGATTTAATTTTACCTTTTAAGGTATTAATTTTACGAATATCATTATTTCCTTTCGATTACGTCAGCGAATTATCACTACTCAATTCTCATCGATCATACATTAGACGTGAACTCAATAGTGACTCTTTGACACCATGTCGATATTGTTAGTGGATATGTTAACTTAAATGATGATGATGAAAGCAACTAAGTTTGTTCAATATGCAGGAGATGATGGGTCCTTCAGAAACCTTCGGAATCAATATATACTGCTCGGTTTTCTTTTTTATTTGTGAAACGTGTATGTACACTTCTTTGTGTGTGATATTTAACAGAATTAGAAGTGAGCAAAGGGTAAAAAAATTCACTCATTAATTGTTGTGGTTTTGTATCTTATCATTTTTAAAATGACAGTAATTTTTCCACTTCAGTGCCGCATCTCCATCTCACTTAGTTCTCTGATATCATTTCCAGTGAGCTTCACGACTCCCCACAAACTTGCATTTCCTCTTCAAGTTATCTCTTACAGGTCATACTCGAACGGTAAAACTCATCGCTTCCCATTTGGGACTGACTTTGGTACCTAGGATGTGATCTCATCTGAGTGTCTCCATAGAGTACATCCAATCCGTATACATTTCTTTCTGCATATCTATTAGGTGATAGATTTTTGACTTGTTCTCTGCCTGCCAAAGTTCTTAATAGCTTACTCTTTTTCAGCCACGTGTTTATTTGTAGTTAAATCATATTGCATAACAGCTTCAAAAAGAAAGACCATATAAATGCAAATTTTTCTAAATTTGTCGACCAGCTGTCTCACGTCATAGCTGAGCTAGTCACTAGATGTTAAAAAAGCAGATGATCTTTTGGCACGAACTGATGAGTGAATATCAACATCTCAGAAGCAAAATTTAAAAATCTTGAGTTTGGTGCGGCGTGTGAGTGAAT